TGTAAGAAAACAAAAAAAAAAAGACAAAATTATTAGTACAAGTAGATTGGACTTTTAGCTCCACCACTAAAAAGAAACTCTATTTCTTATCTTTTTGTATGTTTGATCACATGCGTAGATCTACTTTTTTCTCTTCCATGAACAAACTTTCTACATGTAAACGTAACGTTTCTAATAAACCCAGAAACAAATACAAAGATCTCAATTTTAATCAAAAAGTGTAATCAAGTCCTGATTCTTTCTAACTAATCTCACAGATTTCAGTCTAAATCGAGTAAGACTATACACGAAATGAGTTATATTTCACAGCAAATGAAACAGAGACAGAGTATCTAATCCAAAATGAGAGAAACCAAAATCAAACTAGTAGAATAACAAATCTATTCTCATTCAAGCATATCATCGTACAGCTTGTGTGCATGATAATAAACACTGAGATTTAGAGAACAAAATGAAAAAAAATTACCAGATCAACAGTCTCGTTCTTTATATCCTCGAGACTCGACATCTCTCCCTTCCTTCACCGAAAAGATAAAACTTCAAACGACGGCGAAGTGAGTACTAAAAACGACAGCTTTCTCCGCCGTTTCACTCGATCATACGTATTTCTTTCTCCGGTGAGAGAAAGAGAGAGAAAGAGAAGGAGAAGCGATGTTTCTGTTGCAGAGTCGATACGAGTGCTCCTCTTTTTATAACCACTGAAAACGACGAATTTCTCCGCCGTTTAGGTTCATTGTGGGTCCCATTACAAGTAGTCTCCATTTGTTTACCTCCCTTTTTTAATTTTTGTTGTTTGTATATTTTGCCTCTTATTAACCCTTTGACCGTTGATTATTAATTGCCTTTTCATATTGTTCAAATTCATCATTAACCCGAATCAATGGAATAATATCTGTGGGTCCCAATTTCGCTAAAATTTTGGAGAAAAAGTGTAAATGATAACAAAATTTCGCAAATTCCGCGGTTACCATTTAAGTTTGACATATTATTCAGCAAATTCAGTAGAATTTCTGTAATTCAGTAAAAATTCAGCAAATTCTGCAATTCAGTAAAAATTCAGCAAATTCTACAATTCAGCAGAAGTTATGCGGTTACCATTTACACCAGTAGGGTTTAGGATTTTAAGATTTAGACTCTAAAAATTTATAATTGGT